GAGCCACGCCGGCCGGGCAAAAAGCAAGCTCTTTAATATGTTCAGCAAAGGCCCATCAGAGTCCAGAGCCAGCTCGGGTAGCCCATTTCAGAGACCAGGTAACCAGGAGTGCTTCTACCTTCAAGCGTTTGCCAGAGCTCTTGGGCTTGGAAGAGAGGTTGGTGGTGCAACTATTATGCTAACAGAACTTTATTTCGGGTCCAAGGAGTCAGATAGCTTCTCCATTAATGTGGGTTTGTTCATGTGCAAACACAGACACTGAAATGTTAAGATAAAGTACCCACTGTGCAAACCTGTATTTGTCATGAGCGCACCTCCCAGATGTCAGAGAGAGAGCCAAAGCAATTATGTGTCCAGCTAACCATCTGTGCGCATGTTACAGGTAACAGGCCATTGACCTCACCCTCACTAATGTTCCCATGACTTGGTTCCACACGCCTTCCTAGGCACATTCTTCCTGACTTCCAGTCGCCAGCAGAGCTCATGAGGTGGATGCACGACGTTTACGCACAGACGTCGGAGGTCGTCCTTTGGAATGCTTTGCTCTCCTGCTTCTGGGGGGGACCCAGCAAGGAGAGGCTGGATTTGTCGTGTGTCTTTCCCAGCTCCCTGGGTCTGTGTCTGTCTGCCACTCCTGGGACTGAAATAGGCACCAGCCCTTCCTTTCACTTGATCATTTCATTTGTCCTGAAAAATAAGAGCAGCCAGGGTCCAGGAGGAAAGAAAGAAAAAAAAAAGAGTGGAGGAGCAGAAAACCCTTCGTTCCTGGGCCCCCTGGCTGATTCTCTGCAATGATATCCCACCAAAGCTTTTTGTGGAAACTCCAAGTTTCTCATCTCTGCAATGAGACTGGCTTTTAGGGGTGTTTTTTTGCACATATTTGAGCCCTCTTTACAGAGGGACAGAGGTGGACAAAATAGCTCCTTCGGTCTCTAGGTGATTCCGTAAGTGCTTGCAGAGAGCACTTCAGTAGATTAAACTCCCGTGAGAGACACCCTGCACTGCTGCCTGAGCTGCCCACGTCTCAATGGGGCCACAAAAGCCCCACGGGTGGCTCTCCGTCAGGGCACAGGGCCTCCTGAGAACAGCGAGTTGGTTTTTATTTGTCTAGTAGAGGCCCAATGCATGAAATTCCCCCAGCTGCCAGCACCGGCTTTACTCTGGCACCTGGGACCTGGGCTTCCCTCTGGCAGCTGGCAGGCACCCAGGACTTGGGCTTCCCTCGCAGCCCAGGCTTTATCCGGAAGGTCGTCCGGTCTAATTAGCATATTATGCTTTTATTATTATTATAGATTTTGGTTACAGGCCCTCTTTCCTGTACTCAAAATCTCCTTGGCCTCAAGGCTACTTCTTACTCAATATTCTGCTTTCCTAGATTTTTGCTTTGAATACAGCCCATCATGGCCTCTTGGAGTCCTGACCATTCAGAGTCTCTGCTGCTAAGAGACTCTGTTTCTTGGTATTTCCTACAGAGAATCCAGTTGACCTCCCACAGGCGGAGACGCGGTTTTTGTGGCTGCTCAGCCTATGGATGTGTGTGGCTCTTGGGTCGGGCGTCTCTCTTGTCCATGCAGCTTAGGCCAGAGGCTGAGCATGGAGCGTAACACATGGTCTCTGGAACGGGCTGGACATCGGGCCGGCTTTGTGAATGCTGGGAGCAGCACCGAGTGGTCTGGGGAGTTTGTGTCCATACCACGTCATCCCCGGGAGCCACTAACCTGGATGGGACTTCTTTCTGTCCTGAGAAAGGCGTGTGAGCCGGCATTGGCTTTTTGGCCCCATGCACACAGCCATGGATAGGCTGCTTCTCTGGGACCTGTGGATGGCCCATCGGCTCATGCCCCAGGCTGGGCCAGCCTCTGAGACCACACAGGGTCTGCCACGCTGCAAGTGTACTTTACCCGCACCCAGCAGACCCTGCTGGGTGGTGAAGGGGGTTCCATCTCACCATCTGGCCGAGGCAGAATGAGAAGCAGGCCGGTTTTGGGGTAGGAAAGCCTTTGCCATTTTATTTCACAATAAAAAATTCTGACAGCATAAAAACACTCTGTTCCCGGCAGTGGCCAAGGATGTACAAAATTAATTAGAAAGCAAAGCCTTAAATGACAACAGCTACCGCCAGAGCGCCTGTTCAGTGCCTGTGTTTGCACCATGTGTCTCGGGGGGTTGGTAAGGAATCGCGGTCTGGGTTACATACCCTTCAAATCATTGACAACAATAGGAGCAGCAAAATACAGCTCCAGGGGAGGCTGGCTTTGGTGGGCACTTCCACACTTAGGAAAAAGTCTTGGTGTTTTTTTTTAATGTTATAGAATATAAAAATTTTATAGAACATGTGACAAATTAGTTCTGTGAATAGAAGGTGCTAACATATTTTGCTTGATAAAACTAAATTAGGAAGCGAATACTTTAGTAAGAATACACTTTTCAAAGCATTTTCACATATATTAGGCCACGCGTTCCTCACAAACACCACGGGAGGTAGGAAGTGCTGATGCTGTTATACCCATTTCACAGGTAAGGAAACAGAGGCTGGTTTATAGTGAGTTGATCTAGGCTTTGACCATTTATTACACCTTTTTCAAAATCCCCAGACAATGATACTCCTCTATTGTTTGCTATAAACCTTGTCTCATTTTGTGTGTGGGTTGAGGGTGAGTTTAGATGCCGAGGCTAAAGCCAACAGCAGTTAGCATATTAATGCAAAAAGAATAATTGGACTTTGATATTCAGCAGGGCTGAAAATCAACATAATCTTGCCCTGCTGTGGGTTCAATGGCTCAAGGCAATTCCCTAACCTGATAATCCTTTTACTGTTTATCAAACTTTACCTTTGATATGGCTGTATGCATTGCTAAAGGGCAAATGTGTATTCAAGTAAATAAATAGCAGACCAGGCTAGAAGTTGGTGTGTCTCTTCAAGAAAGAGGCTCCCCCTGGCCTCTAATGCCTTCTAAATTCTTATTTCTTGTATAGCATTTTCATTTGTGCATCGGCCCCTCCTTCAGATCATTTAGACGTCAGGCATAGATGAAGGTACATAAAGTGAGGCCACGGTTTGGCCAAGCTCAGAGAATGAAAATAATTAATTTCTAGATTTCATCATATAATGGCTTTCACTAAAGTGTGGGTTTGACCTATGGAGACAAATTCTGCCATTTCCGAATTTCCCCCTTTTTTTGAAACCTGCAGAATCAAAGCAACTTAATATCCTCTAAAAGAATTTGCTTCCAGCACTATTCATTCTATTTTGTAAATATTCCTTTCCAAAATGTTAGCACTTAACACAGGCTAGGATTCTGTAACTGTTCACCTTAAGAAATCAAGAGACCTATCAATTCTTGGGAACACTAATTTATTACATGTAGAAGGTCAGAGCCACAAGAATATCAATCTCCCTTGAAACCAATTTTGTTTCAAAAGACACTGAGAGGCTCACAGTTTTCTCATTCCTGTAAGTGTGCAGCCGTGAGCCACGTTAATAGCACCTGAGCTGAGATGATGCATTTTGATCTACATGTATTTGTTGTCTGCTGAGCAAGACAGTGTGCTCACTGGGCCCTGGTCAGAAATCACTTCTGAGGCCCAGCAGCAGTGTCAATAGCACTGGTGGTGAGTGGGAAGGGGTTGGGGCGGGTCCAGCCAGTCCGCCAAAGTTTCAAGCTCATGCATTCTCACTGATGTGCACGTCAAGGATGCCTTCTCCTCTCTGTGGCAATATCTGTAGTGACTGCTCACCTGCTGGCTGGCATCCTAGGACCTCTGGTCAATTCCAGTTGGTAGCAGGTTCCTCATGCTCCCTCCTTTGGGTACTAGCCCCCAACAAAAGCCCTCATTGAGAGGGCTGGCCCAGGGAACCATGCTCGTATTACATGACCTTGCCTCCTTGTTGTAGCTGGTTGGATAGATACCTGACCCAAGGAAAGTCCAAACTACTTTCTTGTGTGTGGCTGAAGAAATGGGTTAAGTTTAACTTCTGTTCTCACATTTGAAGATAATATCTGTTATTTTATTTATTAAACACTGAATACCTGTGTGTTGTGTAGGGGGGAAAAAAGCAGCTTATTTATCTATAATCAATATTTAAATCTTTGATCCATTTCCCAAATTTCTGCCTGCTAGAGAAGCATTTCCTCTAGTCAGGTATTTAAATCCCGTTCCACCTCCATCTGCACTCTCAGGAGTTGTTGTTGTTTTTTAATCACAAATCTAACAATATTCTATCCAATCTTCCATCAAGATTGCTCAGAAATTACATGTCCTTCTGTTGAATTCCTAAATTAACAAATGTACCATATAATTTGTCTTGGGTCCAGAGAATTGAGTCTTACATAATCCAGTCTGATTTGCTCCACTCGGGCTGCCATAACTAAGTACCATAGACTGGGTGGCTTATAGACAACAGACATTTACTTCTCACAGTTCTGGAGGCTGGGAGTTCAGACCAGGGTGCCAGCATGGTAGGGTTTTGTTAGAGACTCTGCTGGGTTGCAGACTGCCAACTGATTATTTTATCCTCACAGGCAGAAAAGAGGGCATCTCTTTTATAAGGGCACTAATCCCATTCTTGTGGGCTCCACCCTCATGACCTAAGGACCTCCCAAGGCCCCGCCTCCTAATACCATCACATTGGGGGTTAGGATTTCAACATATGAATTGGGTGGGGAGAGGGCACAAACATTCAGTCCATAGCACACCATGGAAGAGGCAATTCCCGCTCCAGTAACACTGCCATCTCAGATCACAGGTACCAGGACACACAACGGACGTTGAGACATTTTCCTAAACCTCGGGATTGCCTCCCCAACACAGAGCACGGAATCTGCTGCCTCCCAGTGACAAGCTGTCATGGCCCCTCTGGCTGCCTGTTTGGGTCCATGGCATTGAGAGGAATACAGCCCTGGTGTTGAGCAGCAGTTGAGAACACCAGTTCCTTGGCAGCATTCTCTAGGAAAAGCCAAAATGCATCTCTTTTCAGACTGCAGGAAACTCACGTCAAAACGAGTTCCAAAAAAATGTTTATTATGCTACAAAGGCATTGTCCTCTTTACACTTTATCTGAAGTTCTTAACACATTCCATCATCTGTTTTCCTTCACAGGAACATAGGGAATGTCTCAGATGACCCTTGTCTACTTTTTAAACCTCCTAGCATAGTTCAAGAAACCACAGACAAGCATGCGGGCAGCATGGTGAAATGGGAAGCAAGTTGGGTCATGAGTCAGCAGGCTTGGGCTGGAGCCCTGGGCAGGTCACTCCACTTCTCGGGACGCTGCTTCCTTCTCCAAGGTCACCACCGTCTTGCGGCTTCTCCAACTGTCTGGAGGGTCGTGAGGACCACAGAGCCTCTGGGCTCTCATGGAACTCTATTTTAACTTCCACGAGGCACTTCTGAACATCTGCCTTTTCTCTGAGCCAGCTTTCCAGGTATGTGTCCCATCCATGAGGTCAGAAGGCTCTCCAGAGAAGGGACCCCATCTTAGTCACAGGATGTCAAACAATGGCGGCTGTCAGCCCATGGGTGGGAAACCATGGACAGACTGACCTCTTTTCCATTTAAGGTTTTCCTCCCATGTACTTTTTCTTAAACCAGTGGTGTCTAGTTTAAGAGAGGGGTTGATTAAGCATGCTGCATGTTTAGTTGTCTCAGTTGACTAATTCAATATTTCATGGGTTCTGTAAAGACTGCAACGATTTGTTTCTCAATCTCTTAGCAAGCTGGGGCCGCAGGCTCATTCTCTGTAAGTTACTGGCACATCTACAGCTCAGACACTGTCTCTGAAGCATGTGCATATATTTTAATTACACTAAGGTCTTAAAACTTCATTTCCACATATAACATTTCCAGGCATTTACCAAGCAGACAAAGTACTGGGCTGATGTCATTGCACTGATGAAAATATTAATATTATTGATAAGGCGGGACAATGTAGCTGACTCTATCAGACTCATACCATTTGCATGAAAAGGCTGAGTTTCTTTGGCTCTTTGTTCATTCAAGTGCATTGAATACCAATTTAGATAGACTTAGGCATTGTGTTAATCTGTCGATAAAAATCTTACACTGTCCATAGGGTTTTCCAAGCTGATTTAGGTTTTGGATTACAACAACTAGCCATTGGTAGAAATATACCATATATATACACATGGAAATTACAAAAATACATTTTATTTATAGCTGATTTTTTTTTTAAGTAACAAAAAGCTAACACTATGAAAGATCAACCAGCATACCAAAAGACTACCTAACATCATCCGAACAAGAGGCTTGTTTGGGAATTCCATGACACGTCCTCTCCGGAACATCCCAGAAAGAGCAACTGGCCATTGGGAAATAAAAACCGCTTCTTTGAAAAGTCTGTGCTTTGACAGTCGAATCTCTCATTCTAATCAGTTCCACTCCTACTCTTCTCTCACTTTGAAATTTCCACCTTCTCTCAGTAAAGACCAAAGAAACTCGTGAGGAGAACGGAAAGATGGGCTCAGGGAATGGAGACAGCTGAAGCGAGATGGATGTTGGGTGAAGGTAGGACAGGCCCTCGTTCTCCAACAGACGCCAAGTGAGCCCTCAATGTGGTGAGGGGACCCGCGTTTTCTCCCCGAGGCCACCTGAGTGAGGTCAGCAGCTGTTCGGCTTCGCGCTGACTGTGCGGCAGGTGACTCGGGCTGGGAGGCGCTGCCCACCCAGAGCTCTGGAGGCCGACTCGCCCTGGCAGGGCAGGTGATTCGCAACATCACCCTCACAAGGTCAGCAGCCCGGCCATTTTAGCGAATGTCCTCTAGTGTCCATTAACCACAGGGGGTGGGGGAAGGAGGGGATTGGCTACCTCCAAACACTTTTTAAAATGTTATTTACATTTAAACGTAAATCAACCGATTTTCTACATTCAGAAGCTGCGATAAACAGAGGCTGCAGGCTGGGGAGGCTGGACCCACGCTTCCTGCTTCTAGCAGGCAGCAATTACTAGCTCCTTTTGTGTCACTCGGCAGCCCAGGCTGGACGTCATTGTTGAAAAGACAGAGAGAGATGTTTCTCATAAAATCAATGATGTATCTCTTATCCCAATAGAGAGAGAAGCTTCATTCTCAGGCCACCTTCATCGCAGGGCAAAGAAAAAGCTCCACCAGTAACTGCTTTTCTTTTGTAGGACCCTCAAAGCTCTTAGCACCGCTGCTCTTTCAGCGGGATCCCAGCTCACAGGGTATTCCGGTTCCAAAATAACAACACCTTTTCAAAAACCTGTCAACACACACCAACCATTCCCTCTCATCTTCTCTCTTTCTTGGCTTCTGTTTAATGGGGGGTGGGGGAGAGGTACAGTCATTGACAGCACTGGTTTTCATCCGATGCACCTGACCTTGAATAGCAATCTCTAAAAGAAAAGGACTCAGGTTTCTTGCCTGGAGTCAGTGCCTCCCTTCCAGACTGGAGGTGATCTTAACGAGTACAGTCATGGCTGAATGAGAGAGAGTACAGTCTGGTGCGTTATCACACGCCTGCATTGCCTTTAACACAGAAACAGTTAACATGCAGGAGTCACCAAAGATAGAGCTGTGTCCTCCACCTTCTGGCGACTTGTTGAAATGTGGAATTGGACAGGAATCTGCAGGTTAGTGTCTCTCCCGACTAAGGCTCCGTAGGGAAATACACCGGCAGTTTAAATACAACAGAACATCAAGCATACGGTCCCAAGCAGGGACTTCTTGACATACAATCAGTTGAATAGGCCGAGAATCCAGGCGTTCAAGAGTTTCCTCTGTTTCCCAGAAGCCCCACAGTTCACCTTTTCAGAAACGAAGGCTGAGGAAGACTCACCCACTGTTTATTACTCAAGTCCCAACGCATTAGGCTTGAGAAGCCTGAAGACTGTTTCCTCAGAGCCTGGAAGCCCCCGGTGCTAAGGCCTTAGACCTGGAACTCGAACATGTCCGTCTGCTTCTTGGCCAGCTTGGCCACCTCTTCCCGGATGGCCTTCACCAGGGCCGCCGTGGAGATGTTGGTCAGGGGAGTGTCGGGAGGGTCGTTCTCTGCCAGGCTCTGCTGGGAGGCCGCCGCGGAGGGCACAGGGCCCTGCTCCAAGCTGGGGTGCATGCCGGCCGGCTGGCTGTACTGCCGAGGGAGCCTGGAGGGGGAGTTCTGCTGGTAACGTGACCGGGGGTAAGCCTCGATGTACCCTGGGAGAGGGACCTGCAGAGGATGTTGGGAGACAGGGGAGGGGCCTGGGATTAGGAAGGGGCTCAAGTCATAGCAAGCACCTGACACTAGAGGCAGGAGGGAACTAAGGGCAAGGGAAGAGATTCGGAAGAAAACGGAGGCCACATACCACTGTACAGATACAAAACCTGCAGTCAGATTGGTTAGAAAGTAGGTAATTTGAATATTCTCACTGGATATGCTGGTGGGAACATACCTGCGTCTACATACGAATCTACGTGGCTACCTTTTTAATATAAGCAGAATCCAGCAAACAGAAATGCTATAATCCAAAATTTATAGTATTTTGGAGGTATTTGATGGGAGAAATAACCCTACAAGCCACCAGGGACCATCTTACAGATGTCATTTTAGTATAGAGAGGCATAATAATGATGCTGAATCATTGGCTAAAGACAAATTCAATTATGCTCCTCTTTTAAAGAAGAAGGCAGAAGGATAAAATTCATTCCAGAATTTTAAAAGTGCAAGATGGTATATATTTTAAAACATTTTAGAAATTCAAGGGGTAAGCTCTGATCACCAGGAAAATTAATATATGTAGAATGACTTCATCCCTGATGATGTCCCTTAGATGAGACGTCGCTACAATAAGAACAGACACTAACTCTGAGGTTGAGTTGAACCTGTAGGGGTGGCAAGTATGGACCCAGGAGTGACCCAGGCCTTGGGTGTCACCATGTTTCCTAACTCTAGAATGCTGAGACCAAACCCTACAGTGGCATACAGAACTGGGTGCCCTCAGGGCCAGCCCGCAGAGCCAGTCTTTCTTTCTTTCTTCTTAATTTAAATTGAGACAATCTTTCTTATCCATGTTGGATGGACTCACACAAAGGGGGCTCCCCACTCTAAGGGCCATCCATGTGCGGTTTTTTTTTCCCTTGGGTTTTTTTGTTTGTTTGTGTTTTCCACTTAGCAGCCCTTGACAAGTGGCTCAGAGGCAGGCTTGGGTGTGAAGATCTGTGCCACAAACTCCTAGTTGTAATGACGGGAGAAACCCGTGGAGGATGACAAGACAGTCCTTGGCTGAAAGTCACGCAAGAAGCTTTAGGAGGTACATGCGAAGTAATTCAGTCTTGAGTTCCTAATACTTTATTTTCTGGTATTTCATGTAAAAATTTTCACAGAATTTTAAAGCTAAAAGGGACATCTTTAAAAACACTTTGGAGCCAGACAGAGGCAGGTTTGAATCCTGGCCTCAGCACCTTACAAAAGCTGTGTGGCCTTAGATTAGGCCTCAGTTTTCCTCATCAGCAAAACGGGACACATCATGGGACTAATAACCCCTGCCTGATAGGATGGCTGTGAAGATTAAATAAGATCATATAAATAAAATACCTTTCATGGTATCTAGCACATGGAAAATATCCCCCAAATGGCAGCCATTATACACATTTCTTTGATTTAGGTAGATGTAGAACCTGGCAGGTCTCAAGTTCCTCTGTCAAAGGACAACCCATCTTCCCACGTCTCCTTTAAAACGGCTGACTTTAGCCATCTGGCTGGTGGGAGGAGGAGATAAGGACACACTCGTCTCAACCTCTCACCCCTTTTCTCCCTGAAGCATGTCAAGCAGGTAACGTTGTGGGGAATCAGCAAGGGTCTCACCGAATCGGCCCACTGGCTCGGGAGCTCGTTCTCTCCTGCATAGGACATCCAGGCCTGGCTCCTGTAGGACGAGGGGGGCGTCGGGATGAAGTAGCCGGTGAAGCCCGGTCTGTTGGCAGCTGGGATGGCGAACACTGCGGGCACCGTATTGCCTGGCATGGAGGAGATGGATGGGAGAGATTAGGCCAGCACCCCACCCACTCAGCTGACATTTGCACAAGCGGAGGAAGCTGGG